CCAAGCAGTTTGAGGCTTGGCCTGCGTCCTTCGCATCAATTATGCATCGGATGGAAACGGATGTAAACTCGGGCACTATAAGATATTAACTCTAATGTGTTTGGCTTGTTGAATTAATCCATTGGCTTTATCAATATTTTATGCAATTTGGCCCTGATTGCGGTCTGCATGTATTTATTGTGGTTAATTTTGATTTAAGTTTAAAGCAAAGGGGTAGGGGAGGGCCAGGCTTGCCACGACGGGCTGGGGCTTTCTCCTCGGCTGCGTTTAGGGGTAGTTTTCACCCTTCGCCGAAGGGGAAAGTGCTGGCTTAGCTACATGTTGCCGGGGAATTTCGCCCTTTCGGAGTAAATGTTGAGACCATGGAGCATATTTTTGAAACAGTGGCGGAAATTGTAAATAATGAGTAATTCTATTTTATTATGAGTCTGATCCAGAGGGAGGCATAATTACAATTACGGTTTTAATTAAAAATATATTTACTTTTTTGCAATACATTCGAATGCTCCGACCGTAATCAGAATTTAAATTGAGTTCAGCCTCAATCTGCAAATAATTTACGAGAGAATACTTATTTTAGTAATTGTTGTTTCATTAATATTAATACAACATTTTACAGGCCATTGACTACTTGCTGTTTTTTTTTTTTTATTTAATGACAAAATTGCGTACAATTCCGGATTGATATATTTAATAGTAGGTCTGAAATTAACAGAATTCGAAAAGCTTCTGGACAATTTTCAATTTAGCGACGTGCATATGAAAAATAAATAAATTATCATACCAAAGCCGCGGACGTCACTTGCCTATGTATTTCATTAAGTTGTACGCAAGTGAATGCAAACAATTATGAACTTACGAGATAATTAACTGCAAAAACAAAGTTATTTGCATAAGTAAGTCAATAAGCGTAGAGTAATTATAAATTATAACGGATTTCGCTTTGTTTATCTTATGTAATCAGCTTTACGTGCTTAAATAATTATCGTTGAATATGTTTTAATTAATTATGTAGGTATGCAGACTAACGACAAAAAATGGATGATGCGCATTTTAAAAATTCCATAAGAATTTTAAGAACCATTAAAAGCATAAAGATTGTATAAGCAAAAAAAAAAAAAGCTGTATTTAAATTTAACGAATAACCCTAAAACATCATAGCGTAAATCGATAGCCTTCAAACCACCATAAGGGGCATTATTTTAACATAAAAGTAAAACAAAAAATTTTCCGCGAAACTAATACCACAATTACCAGCAAAATTTCGCTAACGAAGGCTCGTTTATGTGATTCTCATGGGCAGACTGTCACAAAAGGGTGTTCCAAATAGAGATTTCACCCTCCCTCGAATCGCTGTATTGCCATGGCACAGACTGTATTAATGCGCTTCATATGTCAGGAGGGGCCATTCATCATCATTATGCTGATGCCAACTGGCTGGCTGGATGCCCTCCAGACTCGCCCTCGCTCCCACCCACAAATGCCCAGACCCGTGCACGTAGTTTATGAGTGGAGCTCATCAGCAGCAGAAAGAAATGATTTTGATACAACGCTGTCGAGTGAAGGAAAAAGTTTAAATAACTTTTGCCCGGCTTGATGTCGCAGCATTTAAAATGTACAACGTTTTTGTGCCTTCTCCGTCTGCGGAGAGTGTAGTATATAGTATATGGTATGTAAATTGATGGAGAAGACCTCATGGGAGGACCAGCCCTGTCTGGCCTTCTCCTCTTGGCAGTCTGCTGCCGGCCAAATGTCCTTGTTGTTATCAAAACGTTGCCGCTTAAAGTTTATTAGTTTGACATGTGTGCATTTGGAATTTTAGGCACGTTTGATGAAATGTAATCAAACAAGCCGCAGAGCATTTTTTCAGAGCATTTGGTTAGGTTTTCGGCATGTAGGAATTTTCAGATTACATTTTTAGTGGTTATTTAAATTTTTTTAATAGAAAGAGTACTTGCACTTAACATTCTTGAGGTTTTAAAATAAGAATTGCTATAAACTAGTAGCTATGCATTTTATCCGGGTTTTTGTTTTTAGATTGTCAAGTTTTACATAGGTATTTATAAAAAAAAAGTTTTTTTTTTTAATCTACACCGATGTGTATCAGGCTTATGAGTGCACTTGGGGTAATACTTGCCGTAAGTTACAACTTGTAAGTGTAGCTTTACCAGGGCGCAGACTGATGTAAAACTTTCCTCTGCGACATGTGAATCCTTTGTGTTCCAGTTGCGGCTCCTTGGATGCCATGGAAATAGTTAAGGCTTAGCTTAGAGACACGATGGTGCTGGTGCTCTCGGTGAACATTTTAATCGGTAGGAAATGATGTGAAAAAGTTTTTAATCCTTTTAAATGCCAACTTTTCAATACCGTCGCAGGCTGGCAGTCTCTTACTGGGGGGAGGCGGAGGCCTCGTTGAACGTTAAAGCTATGGCGGCAAAAGCCGAGAAGGGCTTAAAGCGAGCAAAAGTCGTGAAACTCAATTATCCACTTCGCACCCATCCCCACGCCAATCCTCCCGCTCAGGTGGAATATATATAATCTGAGGTTCATTTAATGCGCCTTAAAGTATGCCCGTCAAGTGTGTATTTATGGGCCATCGTTGTGGCATTTAACTCTGCGCTGCAGGATTTAGTGCTCGGCGAGTGTTTGATGATAAATAAAATTTGCAGCTGCTTAAATCTTCAACACAGACATACACCTCCCCACAATATATTCCGGCCGATAAGCACCTGCATATTCATAATGTAGATAACTGTCGCTGTCCGGCCGAGTTCGAGCCTCCGCACTCCGGCACTCTAGCACTCCAAACTTCGCATTTGGCCGGCAGAGGAGCAGCATTAGAGGAGCAACCTAAATTCATGCAAATTACGAGAATGTTAAAGTGCAGGTGCTCAAAGGTAAGAATCGGTGCAGATGCTGGTAGGTGTATATAACCTATTCGTGTGTGTATTCGGGCGAATATGGAGTGCACCTACATAGGGTCGTTCATGGGAAATTGTATGTGTTTTCATGCTCGAGCATAAACGTGTGTGAAATAATATTTTTGCACATTCTACGCCTTAAAACCATAAAATTGCATAATTTATGAATTTGAATATCTCACACATAAAAGAGGCCAACAAAGGCGCCAGAATGGTTTGAAATTGCTATGGGCTTAGGGAGGAGTTGGGGATAGGGGGCCTTGGCGTTATTGCTTCGACCGAAACCGAGAATTTCAAACACAATTTGGCCAACTGAAAATCGAAAAAGAGACTAGAACAATTTCTGTACCGGGCCAGTCAGCAGAATTTGTGGTCTGGAGAGCAAAGTGGATAGTAATTTGAGTTCGAAATTTAAAATGTTATAAATGCCTTTTTGCGTTTGCTGGGACAATAACAGGCCAGGTCAATATTTATTAGAAATTGAGAAATTCGAGTGACTTATTCAACACAAAATCCCATTGACAGTTGATGCTGATTTCTTGATTAGACCTTGTCGCACAGCCAGTTCAGTTCGATTGGGTGCATTCTTGCTGGGGAATATGCAAAATGATGATTTTTGATTTATGGTTTACCAATTCTTACGGTCGGTCATCTGTTTGCCCATTTAATTGCTTCGGCCCGGCAGTAGCAAGGTATTTGTGGCTTGTATTTCTAATTATATTTTGTTACACTTCTGCGGTTGCACTTTGTATTCTGCAAAAATGCACTGAGTTCTGGCGGGCGTGGCCAATGCCTCTTGAATACTAGTAACTTTCCCATCGGCTGCACTTCTATGTTTATTTTTATCGCACTTCCTTGAAGCGTCGAGTTTCAAAGTTTTGCACGACTTTTGGGGCAGGGAGGCACGTGTAAACACATTTGAGTTTGATTTTTGTAAAGTGGTATGTGAAAGTTGCCAGGCGGTAACCTCGCTTTGTTTATAAACGTCTAAACTGTAGAGTTCATGGACTACCTCCGCTGGTAAATTGATAAAACTTTGCTCCTTGCCGTGGCATAAACGATTGTCTACTGGGGCTCACTGAAAAAGCTAGTGGTTCATACTCAAAAGGAACTCTATCAATTCCTGGCTGTCCTTAACTGACCTTCCCACACATTTAACAACAGACTTGGTAATTATTATTTACATCGAATGGATGCAACCTGCCTGTGTTCCGGTTAGGAGTGTCAGGCATTTGTTTTATTTAATTATGTTGACACACACATTTCGGGGGAAAGTATATTACACAAATGTCTGGAATTCCTTGGGTTTGTAATAGTCGCCCGGTCATCAACTTGTGGCTGCCTGCCAATGTCCAGATAAAATGTATGTGGAAACTATTGTCTCCACCCGTAGGCACCTCCCACCCAACTTACTCCCTCACCGCCGTGCGTGCTACCGCAGGTATTTAAAATTGTTTTGGTAAGTGCTTGGTTACACCCACTGTCAGTCGAACAGTGCCGTCCCGGCTCCGACCATTTGGCAGCAGGTGATAAAAGTTCAAAGTCATGTAAGCTACGTGGTCGGGTTTTTGTGTGTGGGTGGTTGGGGGCCTTTTGGGGAATCTGTTTTATATTTGAATTTTCCCATCGCTCGCACGCAACTCGCAGCTCGAGTGGCGGGACAACTAAAAGGATTTCATCCTGCAGACTCGTTTCATTTTTCAGCTCGTTCAACCTGGCGGCTTGTGAAGTTGAAACGTTTCAAGACGAGAGCAAACAGACTGCGCTTTTCCGCACTCCATACGTTCGCTTTTCCCAACCGGGCTAAGTCAATTGACGCTACCTGGCTCTTTGTTCTAGGATCACGCAGTCTGCATTGTCAGCGCTCTAAAAGCGTTTACCCCCAAAGGAGCTGTTCAAAGGACACCGCGCACAGAAGAAGTACATCAAATCAGAGCCTCGCACTTGCAGTTGCGGTTCAGTCTAGAATAATAGAGAGCTCCTGTGAATAAGATGGAGCTTTGTTCACTATCCCATTTCCATTTTTGCGATTAAGTCAATTGGTTAAATACACTGGTTTATTATTTAAGTTCCTTAAACTTTCAACTAACAAAACGACAAATTTATTCACGAATATGAGAAACAAGTTTTTTTGGAATTCCGGACAGGCAGTGTCCTCCAAGCACACTTGCACACGACGTTTAGTGCGGACGTGAGTCTGAAGTGATTTCTTACCGAATGAGTTCGCGTCCTCTGGATGCGCAAGGCTTTAATAAATTCCCTTCTTCCAAGGACTCCATTGCGATCGGCATCAAAAATAGTGAAGATCACATCCATCATGTGTTCGGTCAAAGTCACACCGGCAACCACTTCGGCAATGCGTCCCAGAGTCTGGCGGCTTATATCCGCACCAGCCAAGTAATGAAAGGACAATGCCATGTCCACGGCATCCAATTCCTTGACCAAGCGAAAGAAGTCGATGAACTCGGCCTTAGTGATACCTTCCATTTTTTGGCCATACTTTTTCTTTACGCGTTTCAAAGCCAGATGACGCTCGGTGGGAGAACTCTTGTAGGACAGGACTAGCTTGGAAAAGTCCAATTCGCTGATCACGGAACTGAAATGGAAATCTGCCTTTGCAATCTACATTTTATGTATCAATGTATGCCCTACCGGTCTTTGAGTAGCATCTCGTATTCAAGATTAAGTATCTCTTCGGTTAGGTCTTGAAAGAATTCAAGAAACTGGGCGAGGGTTAGATGTTTGTTGAGTTTTGGTCCGAAGAGAGTGTTTTTGAGATGAGTATTCATGGCAGAGGCCTCGCCCTGGGTAATGGCCAGGAGCAAGGACTCCAGGTCATGAATGCTCAGCGTCCCATCGCCGTTCAGGTCAAAGAGCTTGAAACCGATCTCAATGTGGCGCTGCGGAATGGACAGCAGAATAGTCAGAAGCACATAGTCACTGAAAGTGAGCAGACCCTTTGTCTCAAGCTTGAAAAATATGCTGTCCCGTTTCATTTTCGACTCCCATTTTTCGACACCCTTCTCGTCTAGGACCCGGTACTTGTCCAGACCCAGGTTCTCCGGTTGGGGAATGCCGGGCAGGATCGATCGCAGGAAGTCGGAGGGTGTCATGAAAATCTCCCACCTGCCCGCCTTGTTCCTCATTTTTATGGTCGCGAAATAGCGGAAAACCTTGGAGGGCTGCGAATAAATTCTCAGCCGGTTCTCGTAGGCCGTGATAGTGTTTTCGCGAAACGAAGCTCGATGTCGGCTCACGGCAGAACGGCGAGGCTTGGCACTTTCCTTTTTCGTAGCTGAATTCGAGGCGTTCAGAACAAGCGATCCTGGCCACAGTTGCCTCTTGTTTTCGTTGTCACAGCAGAAGGGGGCGACCATGCTTGCCAAGGAGCGGGCACTCTGGAAAAACGCCGGTAAGAAGCGAGTCATTTGAGATGAAAACCTAAAATTTAGAGGGCAGAAGTGATTTCGTTTTCCTAGAATTTCGATCAATATTTTGCTTTTCGCAGCCAAATTCAAACTGATTGATGTGGCCAGGCCTCTCGATGGAAGGCATTAAAAGTAATCAGAAGCGCAAATGTTTGCACTGCCAAAAACTGTGGGCGGTGGTGCATGCTTCTTTGAGCTCGGACTTTATAAGGCCCCAGGGAAATTTGCGAACAATAAACCAGAAGACCCAAGGAGGCGAGGAGGAAGGGAAAAACTTTACTTCGATTTGTGGATTTCCTCTAATTTTTGGACTGACTTTCTATGCATTTATGGGCGGTCAGCCGGCAATTTCGCCTGCCATTGTGCGGAGGTGCTCGGAGCTTTCTGGAAAAGTTGCCCTTACTCCCCTTTTCGTCACAGGGGTGCGACTGTGGAGTACTCTCGTCGGTAAGTTTCGTTTTGAGGGTCCTTGTTTGTTCAGAAAACTTTCAATAGGTCTTGAAGCCCAGCATTTGGCTAATAAAACGAGATTGAGATGTGTGACGGTACGGAGTGGGAAGGAAATACAAAGCATTTGTCATCAGTATCATATCGTTTTCTAGTATTTTATGGCAGGTTTAAGAATCTAAAACTTAGAGAAAAAAAAACATGAATTTAAATAATCTTTAAAGCTTTGTTTCGGCCTTTTCCCTGCATCTTTCTATGTCTGATTGACAAATAGATTGATTTCAACATCGTTAATGTTAATTTAGACATTCTCTTTGTCACTTGATTAAAGCCTGACACTTCCTGCTCCAGTTTCCCCACGTAGGAGTCTGAATATTCCCCGGAGTCGGGTAAAAGCGAGCAGCGGGAGAACGTGTCCAACCAGGTGGATAATGCCTGCTGTGCCACACGGCCTGGGCTAAAAGTTTAGGCCTGCCTTTTGTCAAACGGCTGTCAACCCAAGGCTCAATCCTTTTGTCCGTTTCTTTGGCATCCTGGCATTTGCATATTGAGCTTGTGTGCGAGTGTCACACACGCCGCTCACATAAACAACAATCAGGACTTAAACAAAGGTAGGCGCGCCAAAGCAAACGCAAAAGCCAGTCGAGCATTCCGGGCACTGCTGCCGAAAATTAAGTTAAACAAAAAACCAGCCGCCGCACTCGCACTCGCAGTGCACTCGCAGTGAAAGTCAAACGGAAACGGATACGCCCCCAGGCGGAATGACAGAAATTGTCACGTAGCTGCTCTTTGGATGTGGGTGACAAATAGGGCACTCACACACCCACATATCTACTCTGTATATATGTGCTGTCATACATAAATACACACTCTCATGTGCAACCGTGTTTATTGCTTTGATTCAACATCAATTGTAAACTGCTTGCGTTTGTGATTTGTCATGTGTCACAACCTGAAAGCGATGGGAGTGAGGAATTTGGGTGACAGGTGCACGGCCAGAAAATGTCTGAGAAACAATAAAATACTACATGTTTCAGATACCTGGAATGCGACATTATGAAGGTATTTCTCTCGTTAGAAATATTTTCTTAAAATCCCTAATCTAGGTCATAAGTTTGATTTCTCTTGGTGTAATCTGACAATGATTTTGTTACCCACTTATAATCGCGAAAAATTAATCTACTACTACTTACTACGATATACTTTGCATATGTACGAGTAAGTATGCAAATCGCTAAGCCGCCTTCGACAATCACTCGATTTGTCATGACCAATTCACACTCAACCATAGAGCTTCTATGGGTGATTGGGAACTAATTTTCATGGCATATGCCAGATGCAGTGAAGCCAACTTTCGCTTTCCAGCCACTCACTCATTTTTATCGAACTGCTGCACAGTAACAGCTTTCCAGGCGACCGAGCGGAAACGGAAAAGCGGAAAACTTGTCCTCTCCACCCCCCGAGTATGAGTTTCATTGCCCCTCATTGTTGCCGCATTGCATTTTTTTCACTTGCCTGACTCCCAAGACTTTTAATTTTATAAATTGTCTCGCATGTGTGGCAGAGGGGTTTCCTTTGTTGCGTGGGTGCTGCCGGAGCTGCCATTGTCGTCAGCTTAAGATTTTGATAAGCCATTGAAAAGTGTGTCTATAAGCACTTGAGCATTCGAGTGTCGCTCTGCTCCGTCTCCGGCTCCGGCTTTAGCTCCATCTAGAGCTCCTGCTCCGTATGCTTTGTTTGCCTTAACTATAAATGGCTTAATAACAGATTTCACAGCGACAGTTGATGTCTTCAGCTTTTCCCTTTTTTGCCACTCGTCTCTTACTATAATTTGTTTGCGCTGGCATGTCGATGGAAATGGAGAATTATTGAAATTTGAGTGGACTTCAAAGTGATTGCGAAAATCGAATTAGAGCAGGCCAGAGCTGAGTGGTGAAAAATTTCAGCAAACGGCGAAAAAAAAAGACAATGTGAAGGGGGCTTGTCCATGGAGCGTGAATTATGTGATTTATGGCGGCGGCTTGTTTGCCAAACGCTTCACAATTACATAAAGCCCTGCCCCCGTCCTCGGCATCGGGCCCTTGTTTTCGTATCTATCCCATAAAAATAAAACAACCCTCTCGAAGTGGGCGCAAAATATGAAATAATATTCTGGCTCGTATGTTAAATGCGTTTTGCAAATATGTTTGCAAAGAAACTTTCGCGTGGGCCCGCCTCCGGGTCAATTCCTTCTACGCAAGGGTCTTCCACCCAACCAAAGTCAGGGTATTCGCAGGCCCCCATCTTCCATATGCTCTGCGGAATGTTATTTTATTTTTGTTTTTTTGCAAATTTGTTGCCTCAATGGACACACAGCGTACTCGCTTCCGCTCTCCTCTTTTTTGTTGCTGTTGGAGTTGTTATTTTGTGCTCCTGGTTCCCGGGTAATAATTCTAGATTTATGAAAATTGTTTTTCCGTTAATGTTTGCCATGTTTTCGACGTTTTTATGTAGCTGCTCCAAGATGCCCAGACCCCAATGCACACGCACCCGCACCCGGACACCCGGACACACACTCTGCATAGAGTCTCTTTCATTCTTTGAAATATATACCATATATATACACGTAGTACCCACAGAGATATTACTAAAAGTCTAAGAAGAGTGTATTGTGTTTGAAGGACATGTTGCTGGAGTGGGCGGCTTCCTGGGCGGTCGACATTCCTGGCCGTGGAATGTGATCCCCGCAATTTTCGGCCATTTCCATTACGGCTGCCCCGACTCCTTCTTTTCTACTTTATGAAACTTTTGCACCCAACGCAGTTTTGCAAAATTTCGAAATTTGATTTCTGAATCCCACGAAAAGGGTTGTACTCCGAGCGCTTGATTAAATTTCTAGCAGACCCCCTGACATTCCCATAAATCTCGCATGACTTCGGAGGGCGCGGACTGGGTGGATGGTTCATATCCTAGAACATTATTGCAAGCGATTTGCGTAGCTGGGTTTTATGGTGCGTGTGCAGTTAGGCCAAGTGCGTGGTAATGAGGCCTCCACTGAAAATCCTCTATTGATAAATGGGCAGGAGCTAAGGGGCCAGCGATTGGTAGTGGCCCCTTTGGTAGTGCTTCTCAGCCTGCAGGAGTTCTGGCTGTGAAGTTCCAGTGGCCGGTGCAATGGCCGGTAATTAACAATTTACTTGCCAGGATAAAAGCAAATAAGCCACAAACACAAAGCGCCGTCTGCAGTCGATGCAATTATTTTTGCATGCAAATAATTATTTGTGCAAACAAGCCAGTGCAATCAAATGTAAATTGATAATTATGCAAGGCATCTGGTGGCTGGTAATTATGGCCGGGTCTGCAACTGATTGCGTCAGTGGGCCGTTTTCTTAGTTGAATTTCCATTTTCATTGGCTTAAATATTATTGACTGAGCAGGGCAAGAGGACTGGCAGGACTCTGCTTTCCTGTGGCCAGCAATTGGGACCGCAATCTGTTTATAGTGTCAATTGTGAAAGTGAATTTATCTAAATCTACTTTTGCAGCAGGAGCAGCTTTTACCGCAGCAAGTCCATTGGCCAGGCCAAATGCAAATGTAACGAGCGGAATTTGCATACATCGCAGCATCTTTCTCCCTTTTTCTTTTCCACTTCTCAGTTTCTCGATTTCTCTGTCTCCCCATTTCTCTCTACTGTCTCCATTGCTCTTACCCATGTTAATATCGATTTTGGCTCAGTTCTAGTGCGTTGCCAGCTAGTTTTGCACTTCCGCTTCCGTTGTTTGGTAAATTTGCAATATCCCTCAATAGGAGCTGCTTTTTTTGGATTGACTTGGCAGAAGGCGGTGCCCCTATCCTCCTTTGAAGCTGCAACCAGGCCAGGCCCGAGAAGACCAGGCCCATTACTGTCACTCATCGACTGTTGACTTGAGTTTGCCCTCCCATATCTTTGAGCCTTTGTCGGGGCAGTTTGTTTTTCGCCGGTCACTGGATCCTCTCTCATCCTTTCCTTTTTAGCCTCTGCACTTTTCGTTTCCGTTCTTGGCTAACGCCCCCGGTGGAAAATGCACAATATTGCAGTACACAAACAGAGTTTGTTGCCTTCGGCACACCCCGAAAAATGTCATTTCACATTCTCGCCAGCAGCCAACAGCCCAACAGCCCAACTGGCGAACAAACACTTTGCATATTTTAACCTTAAGCGGATTTTGCGTTTGCAAATCAGCTGAATTTTGTACCCCTGCTTGTGTTTCCTTCCAGTCTGTTTTTGGTAACAGTAGCTCCTCTCATTGCCTGGTGGCAGCCGCAAAGGGTGACGCAGCTTCTACTGCGCCAGTTAGTCACTTGATGCAAGCGGCAGCTGCAGTCTTTACTGCGGTTTTCTGGGGGACTTTCCTCCAGTCCCGAGGGGTATTGTTCCCATTTTCCCTCACTGATAAAAATTGTTTAACATTTTCCGTGATAAAAAATTGTTATCTAATGGGTAATGTTGGGGTTGAAGCATAAGTTTTCAGGTGCCGACTATTACATATAAAAATGATTAAAAATCTTCCTCCAATAACTAAATAAAAAAAATATTATAGAGACATCCTTGAAAATAAATATCTCAGGAGACGATTATTCCCGTGTTTCGCCTCCTGAAAGGACTCCTTCCTGGAGGGGGGAGCACCTTGGTA